CACTGTAGCCTTTTGAGTCTGTCTTCTGGTTAGTATGGGGCATTTGAGATGAATCTGTGTTGTTTCATGTATTAGTAATTTCTTTGCTTTTATTTGCTGAGTACAAGTCCCTTGTATGGATGTCCCTTGTATGAATGTACCACAGTTTGTCCGTTCATTCACCAGTTGAAGGACTTTGGGTTGTTTACAGTTTTGGAAATTATGAATAAAGTCACTATAAACATTTGCCTACAGGTTATGGAAACTTACGTTTTCCTTTCTTTTGGGTAAATACCTAGGAGTAGGATTGCTGGTTTGTATGCTAAGTGCATATTTAACTTTACGAAAACCTGCCAAACCGTTTCTTTTTTTTTCTTTTTTCCCCTCCATACTGTTTTCTAAAGTGGCTGTACCACATCCCATTCCCTCCAGCAGTGTTTGAGACTTGCAGTTGCTTTGTGTCCATCTTCCTCAGCACTTGCTACTGTCAGTTGTTGTGTTTGTCTGTTTTCACTTTGTCTATTCTAATAGGCATGTGATGGTATCTCATTGTGATCTTTTTTTAAAGATTTTTTTTTTTTAAGGATTTTATTTATTTGACAGAGAGAGAGAGCACAAGTAGGCAGAACAGCAGGGAGAGGGAGAGGAAGAAGCAGGCTCTCCACCGAGCAGGGAGCCTGACGTGGGGCTCGATCCCAGGACCCTGGGATCATGACCTGAGCCGAAGGCAGCCGCGTAACCGACTGAGCCACCCAGGCGCCCCAATCTCACTGTGATCTTAATTCGTATTTCCCTAATGACTAATGATGTTGAACACCTTTCCTGTGCTTATTTGCCATTTCTGGATTGTCTCTGGTGAAATGTTTGTTAAAATCCTTTGATGATTTTTTATATTGGTTTGTTGTTACTGAGTTTTGAGAGTTCTTTATATATTCTGGATCTAAGTCCTTCATCAGATATGTATTTTGCAAATATTTTTTTCCCAGTCTCTGGATTGTCTTTTTGTTTTCTTGACAGTATCTTTGGAAGAGCAGGAATTTTGAATTTTGATGAAGCTACCTACTACTTTTAAAAATCAATTTCCACATGAAGCATATGATAGATTTATTAATCTCAAATTCTGAGCCATCACCAAATTTTGAATTTAACTTTTAATTTGGCAAAAAATTTTGTGTTCTGGCTTGTGAGCCTTTGCTTTTTTGTACTGTTCATCTTGTGTTCACTTATGTTATCAGTGCTAGGGCTGGCCTCTTTTTAAACCAAAGAAACAAAGTTTTGTGTAACTACTCCACATAAATTATTGCGTATGTGACGATGGTCATCAAAGTTGCACTGGAATGACAGTGCCAGGTTATCAGCCAGTCTCACTCACTGGCCCAGTGGCTCTCACATGTTAGCATTGTAGAGTGTGATGCAAAATTACAAATCACCGCATTTCCACTAAGATGTAAACTTTTTGAGGTCAGGGACTCTTTCTGTTTTTGTTTTTAAATGTTTACCAGTTTAGTAAAGGATATGAATCAACAGCCAGATGGAAGAGAGATACATAGGGCGAGGTATGGGGAAAAGGTGGGGAGCTTCCATGCCCTCTCCAGGCACGCCACTCTACTCGCATCTCCATGTGTTCACCAACCTGGAGCGCCAGGACCCTTTCTGTTTTGTTGCTAGAACAGGGCTTAGTGCTCAGAAGATAATCAAATGCTATTCAGTGGCCTTCATGAAGGGTGATGCAAGATGTCTCAAAGCAACCAAGCCTGTGGCTCTCGGTACAGCTGAGGACCGAGGCCAACTCTCTGAATGGCAGAGCTTGAATGCCAAGGGACAGCCCAGAGCCCCATCTGGGGGACTTCCAAGTGCAGCAGATCTGCTTCTGGGAATGTGGAGAGAGAATTCCAGGTCCCTGGCCTTGACTGGATTTCTTAGGGAGGCCTCAGGTTCTGAGAGAGGAACTTAGGTAAGGACATGCCAGCATTCTGAGAAGGGCATGCTGTAAAGAGAGCTGAATCTCGGTAACTAGATAACTTGAAACCAGTTGTGGAGTTTTGCTGTTCCATCTTCTTCTGACTGTCTCAGGGCTGCATAACCCACTCACCCTCCCACCCCTGCTGCCATCTCCACCCTCCAAATGGTGACAAGATCAGGCCAAAGTTGAAGTCACTGGCAGAGCCGAAGCCAGGCTGCCTGTGGTGGAGCCCAGCTCATCTCCACCCCATCGTCTCGCTTTTGTCCTGATACTATTTTGGCTCATGGTGTGTGGTTTCAGCATTTGGGCCAGCTTTTAATCACGACACAATCCCATTTTGTAAGGGCTGAGTGAGTCCTCCAAGAGAGGAAACTGCTGAAGAGAAGATTTTCCTCAACTGTTGAGGCCTTTCTTCTTTCTGAGAGTCGTATGTTAAAGGTAATTCAAGGTGAAAAAAGGGGGAAACTCCAGATTGAGGGCAAGGGAAGAATCTGGGGAATGGGGGCTGTGTGTGTGTGTGTGTGTGTGTGTGTGTTGGGGGAGGGCGGAGGTGGCAGTGTGGGCTGCGGCCAGGGAGGCAGCAATTCATGCCAAGTGGTCCCGGCTGCCCCTGGTTACAGGCTAATCCCAGCCCTGCTGCAGCCCATCATTCAGGGCAAGCTGCTATCATTAGTGGTTAAACATTTCTGAGAGTATTCTCTCTCAACTCTGACCACATGCCCTTTCGGGGAAGGGAGGGAGGAGCCAGGAGAGTTAATGGGGCCCACCCTGTTGTCATGCCCAGCTGCTCTGCAGAGGGACAGGGAGCCCCGGACTGGAAGTGATCACGGGCTCGTCGGAGCCAGTGCATGTGACAGGACTGATGTCGCCTTTCCTGTGCTGCCCACACAGCCTGCTGCTTCTTGAGTGATACAGCCCTCTGCTGTGGGCTCTGAGTACCAAATCTGAGAGGCTTATTTGTCCTTTTAAGGGTGTTCTGGGCTGAAATAAACCTTTTATTAACCAATTTTATCTCTGTCAAGCTCTCTGCCCTCAACAGACACACACACACACACACACTCACTCACTCACTCACTCACTCACTCACCAGTGGCGGAAGACCGTCTTTTCCTTTGGAACTAATCTGTACTCATTCTGCTTTCGATGAGGAGTTGTGGTAAAATGCTCAGTACTAACGTTTCTTCCCATGAAGTGGGGACTTTGAAATATTTTTTTTTTTGACTGAGGTGTGGTTGACAGCTTTCGATTTATGAAATTAGCTCAGGGAAAAATAAGATGGAAAAAAAGAGTCCAAATTAAATCTTTATTTCCATAGCTCAGTTGTGCCCTCTCTATCCATTTTTAACTGCCATGCAGTTTTTAGGTATGAAGAACTCCATGGTTTGTTAGGTTCCTTCCTTCCTTCCTTCCTTCCTACAGTTTTGATCTAAGAAAAAACTTTTTCCCTCCTTAAAAAATTGTGTTTTTTCCTTACTCAAAAGTATACAAGTTCAATGGAGAAAACTAGAAAACTCTAGAAAAGCACAAAAGGAAAAGCTAAGGGAATTCGTATTCACAACAGTCAGAGATAATGACTATAACTATTTTGGCTTATGCCCATCTTGTTGGAAAAAGTCCATTTCTTGTGCTGGAGAAGGTACTTGTTGGTGGGGGCACTTCTTATTCCCCTAGGAACCTCCAGGTTTGTTGTGTTGTGGGCTTGTTCCAACACTCTGGATGAGAGAGTCTCACCAGCAGAGGTGTTCTGGTGGATATGGAGCCTTCCAGCCCAGCAGGGGACCTTTCCATTTGAGCTCTTCATCTCACCATTGGCCAAGTGACCAGTGAAAGAATAGCCTGGGAGGGATTCAGTTCAAGTCCAGGCTCCCTTCCCCCAGTCTCCAACCAAAGAACATGAGCTCTTGATCTTAGACTGCCTGGATTTGAGTCTTGCTCCATTGCTTTCTTTCTCTGTCTTCTTTCTTATCTGTAAAATAGGTATAACAATAGTAAACTCCTTCTAGGGTTACCATGCTAGATGAGATAAAATAAAAAGTGCACAGCACACCATGGATATCTGTTACATGATGTTCTGACTCAGTGCATATTATATACTGCTATAGTTATTGTTATTCCTTTTATTGTTGATCGTATTCTCACTGCCCCATGTACCTGGTATGCGACCTCTATCCATGGGGGTATGCGTTATGGAGGGTATGGGGTATGTGGACCTCTGTTTCTTTGCTTAGTCAGAGGTGGTCTTTTCTTTACTGGATGATGTTTAAATACTCTCACTTTTAAATATTCTCACTTGAAGACTAATAAACAATGACTATGCAGTAGAATAATCTCCTTTGACAAAACAGCTGGACTGAAGGGCAGGGAGGCTTAGACATTTTCACTGAGTGAACAAAGTCAGGCGACAACAGGACTGTGAGAACACATACTGCCTATTGTCTCATGTTCTCTGAAGTTGTCAGATAGATTCTCTGCTCCTAGATCCCACCATTTTCTGCGATGTAGATCCCTTTATGCTTTGTTCCTCATTGATTTGGATGGACCATTGAGTCATCTTTTCTAGATAAAACATGTCAACATATGCATTGGCTGGAGTTGTCTAGTGCCCCTTGACTTCTTTTCCCAAGGGAAGTTTGTTTCTAGCTATAGAGAAAATAGATTTGGATACGATTTGGGCTCTTTTTACCTAATGGGAGAATTATGTCATCTGTAGCCTGTCCAGTGATGCTTGTTTATTTATTACATTTGAGCCCAATAAAAATAATGTGATGGTCATAGGATATTTTGCCAGTTTTTTCAGATGTGGGGGCAATTCACTCTGGATTTGTTTACTTCAAGTGGAAAAGTTTACCCAAAGTTGCCTTCTGGGCTATTACCAAGGAGGAAGCTTACCTGAGTCTCTGTTCGGAGCCAGGTTCTGTTGAGTCAAAGGCTACAGGGGCTATTAAAAGTCTTATTTCCAATAAATAGCGAGAGAGGGAATACGGTCACTTAGATGGGACATACTTCTTTCTTTTTCACAGTGGCTTATATCTGTCTGCTTTATACTTTGAATTTCCAGGACGCACAGACATTCAGGTGGCTCAGCCAGAGCAACCACAGCAGCCGGTGAGCAAAGCCCCGGTACCAGCAACCGGCACCGCCAGCCCATCAAGAACCCAACCCACAGTGGCTTGGCCAATGGCACAGGTGAGTGACAGCACAAAATAGCAGCCTGGACTAAAGCAGCGGCTTCTAACCTGTGCTCACATGGCGTTGGGACTCTGCCTGCTGTGTCAGAATGTAGGGTGGGCAGAAGACTCCAGTGCTAAAATCCATGAGCCTTTCCACCGGCCCATCTTCTTTTGTCTCTGGCAGATTCTCTTCAGCCGAGGTTATTCTCCATATGCCTGCACTCTTCTAAAATATTCCTTTGCACAAACATAAAAAGTATTGATTTTTAAAATTCATTTCTTATCAGTATTGGGGGCAGAGGGGATATCTTATTTATATATGACACGTTTTTTATTTCCTTAATTTAAGGCAATGATCAGATTAGGTAGAAAGAAGACTAAGGGGCGCCTGAGTGGCTCAGTCGTTAAGCGTCTGACTTCGGCTCAGGTCATGATCCCAGGGTCCTGGGATCGAGCCCCGCGTCGGGCTCCCTGCTCGGTGGGAAGCCTGCTTCTCCCTCTCCCACTCCCCCTGCTTGTGTTCCTGCTCTCACTATCTCTCTCTCTGTCAAATAAATTAAAAAAAAAAAAAAAAAAAAAAGAAAGAAGACTAAGTATTGTTGCTCAGAGCCGGGTTTGAGAAGATGGCAGCACTGTTGGACTGGTTGGGATGCTGACTAGGGGCAAAGCCAGAGTGTCACGCGGGGTGGGGAGGTGGGGGGAGCACATTCCGTGGCTGTTCCAGTGAGAGTATTTGTCCCATTTGAGAATAGGTAGGTAGCCCTTCCTTATCCACAGAGAACTTTTCTGCCCTTGATTCTACTTCTCTGTAAGTGGGAAGGGAAGGACTGATTTCAGAACAAATAGTTTTTCTCATGCTTTCCTTCTGTCTCATCAGGGCAGTGTCGAATTAAAAAGCAAAAAAAAAAAAATTAGTTTTTCTCAATGTCTTGAAGATTGTCAAATCTTTAGTGACTGCCAGTCATGTGGTAATTTGTCTAAATTTGAAGCAGTTGGGGAAGGACTTGGATGTTTACTTCAGTAAACTGTAGACGGCAGAGAATCCGTACGTGGCATGGAATGGGTTTTGTAGGTGCTTGTGGTAGCCGAGGGGTGACGCCCAGGAGGGGAGATCCAGAGCAGCATACCTTCTGCACAGAGCATTCCCAGGCTTGGTGCTGCCCTTTGTGAGCCGAACCTACTGAGTCGGACAGATCAACTAGAGTTGCTTTCTAGTGGCTTTCAGCTCTCTGGCAGCACCGGATGAGGGCCACAGAGCCCCTCTGATAGCTCCTGGTGCTTCATTATACCATTACCCACCATGGACTGCAGGGTGGAGTGGCGCATCCTTCTGGGCTCCGTGCGTGGGTGGTGAGCGGACATTCTCCCCGGAGTTTAGGACCTGCCTGAAGGAATTGAGTTAGCTAGCTCCCCCTGAGCCTTGAGGACGAGGATGAGCTGGAGATGAGGAGTACAAGTGCCTGCCATCTCAGCGAGCCTGGTGCCCCTGTGCCAACCACCGTATCCGCATGCTGCAACATCCAGGCGTAGCGGCCATGGGGGCCCTGGCTTCCAGTCTGGGTGAAGGGGGTGGCGAGGCGGCGGCTGTGGACCGCGCTATACAAAACCGTATACAGCTCCATGAGCACCAGTAAACATGCTTCTCTTCGGAAAATAAGTCATGCGGCTCCTGGGTGGCTCATCCGGTTAAGCGTCTGCCTTTGGCCCAGGTCATGATCCCAGAGGCCTGGGATCAAGCCCCGCATCAGGCTCCCTGCTCAGCAGCCAAGTCTGCTTCTCCCTCTCCACGTTCATGCTCATGCTCTCTCACTCGCTCACTCTCTCAAATAAATAAATAAAAATCGTTAAAAAAAAAAAAAAAGGCGGGGAAAGAAAAATAAGTCACTTGTAGAGGAGGACCAGCATTTACAAATGGAGAGGGGAACTGGATTTTTGGAACCATTTGTTTCCTGGAGGCCGTGGCCAGGCTACCAAACCGCTTTGTTTTTTAGGGGCCTATGTTACTCCATACTGGTTTCCTTCAGCCATCTGTGCTTTTCTTATAAAAACTATTGGTAAATTGACTTTATATGGTGATGGTCTTTGAGTCACTCTTACTGGGTCCTGGAACATATTTGTGTTTCCCCTACGTTTATTTTTAGGTACCTTTGCGTATTGTCCTTATCTGCAAGAACATTATGTGTCAGCAGACGAGGCAGGTGCCAGCCATATCTTCAGAAAGCCAAACGTCTCTAACCCCAAAGTGCATTGGGAATGTTTTATAGTGGTGTATCTGAGTGCCCAGACTGTTCCCAGAACCCATCTATGAAGGACAGTTGCTGCATTTTAGGGATTTCTGCCTGTTAAAATACCGAGGCCTTGGCCTCCGTCTCATCTCTGCTTTCTGCCGTGATGACGGTTCACCTTTGTCTCCAGCCAGCCTGGACTTTGTAGGCTTTTTTTTTTTTTTTTTTTAAAGATTTTATTTATTAGAGAGAGAGAGCACATGAGAGGCGGGAGGGTCAGAGGGAGCCTGATGCGGGACTCGATCCCGGGACTCCAGGATCATGACCTGAGCCGAAGGCAGTCGCTTAACCAACTGAGCCACCCAGGCGCCCCAAAATTCATTTCTTTTTTTTTTTTTTAAAGATTTTATTTATTTATTTGAGAGAGAGAGCAGGAGAGGGAGGAGGGTCAGAGGGAGGAGAAGCAGACTCCCCGCCGAGCAGGGAGCCCGATGCGGGACTCGATCCCGGGACTCCAGGATCATGACCTGAGCCGAAGGCAGACGCTTAACCATCTGAGCCACCCAGGCGCCCCTTTGTAGGCTTTTTAATGTCTATCCAAGGGGTACAGAAAGATCTTACCTTTCATTTGGGGAGCAGACAGAAACCCTACTTTGGCAGTGTGAGACAAGAAGGGAGTTTGAGGATGTGAATGAGGACATCTTCATCTTTCAACACGCTGCTCTTAGAACTGTGAGGACCAGTTCCAAAATGGTGGTAGTAGCCGTGCCTCCAGGAAATATTTCCACAGACATACAAGATTTATTTAGCAAGGCTTTTTGGCTATGCTCTGCAGTTAGGCATGAAAAAGACATTTAGGGCAAAGACAGAGCTGAGTTCCAGGTGGTTTTTTCATGTTGTCACAACTATAAAGTATCCATTTTTATAAAATGAAAGTGAATGGCAGCCTGTCTGTATAAATGTAACATTACTAAGTTTTAGAAGTGGTGCAGTCGAGAAGTAGATGAACAGTATAGCACTTCATTGAGACCTGTGTGCCATGATTTACTTTCTTTTTATTGAAAACTTTAGCCAAGAAAATTACATCTCTTGCTCCTCTCTTAAATGTGATTTCCATGCACATAAAGTCCGCAGTCATACTGGTCGCGGGTCAGATTCTGGAGCACCCCCACCCCCGCCATGTACAGTATGTGAAGGCCCAGTGACTCTCTGGGTCTTAGTTTTCTCATTAATAAAATGAGGACAAGAGTATATATCTCATAAAGTTGTTATAAGGAATAAATTATATAAAACATGTAGAGTGCCTGAGACTCTCAAAGTTAGCTTTTGCCTTTATGAATAATTTCATGCAATTATAGTTATGTAGCATGGATATGAGGCTTTTTTTTTAATCCCATTGTTTTTTATACATGCTTCTGTGTATCTGTTGTCTTGTTTGCTTTTTTTAGTGACCTCATACTGTTTTGCAGTTAGTATGTCAGAATTCTTTTAACCATTCTTCAATTCTTATGTTTCCTTATTATAAAACAAAATCCTAATGCAAATGTCTTTGCACACAGTTTTGTTTCTTCTTGCATAAAGTTCTTGAGTCAAAGGATATGAATTTTTAAAAATGAGAGCAAATGTATTTTACCAGCCTTCTGAAAGGATTGAAGCAATCATACGTTCCACAGTAGTATAAAATTTCCATTAGGTGGTATATGAGGTTTATTTTTTTACTGAAACTGTATAAATACTGGTTTATCATTTTGCTAACAGCTATTAAGTACCACTTCATTATTGAACCTAATTGCACGTTTTCATTTATTAGTTGCTTGCTCGACTATATCTTTCCTCTTGTGTGATTTTTTTCATAGCATTTGATTTTTTTTTTTTTTTTAAAGATTTTATTTATTTATTTGACAGAGAGAGACACAGCGAGAGAGGGAACACAAGCAGGGGGGAGTGGGAGAGGGAGAAGCAGACTTCCCGTGGAGCAGGGAGCCCTATGCGGGGCTCGATCCCAGGACCCTGGGATCACGACCTGAGCCGAAGGCAGATGCTTAACGACTGAGCCACCCAGGCGCCCCCCTTTTTTTTTTTTTGAGATCGAGAGATTTATATATTCTGGTACAAGTTTTTTTTTTTTTTTTAATTGTGGCAAAATATACATAGACATTAAACCATATGAAGTGTGTAATGTAGTGGCATTAAGTACATTCTCAATGTTGTGCAACTATCACCACCACGATGCATGTGCAGAACCTTCTCATCTTCTCAAACTGAAACTCTGTACCCTTTATTTTTTTTATTTTTATTTTTTTAAGATTTTATTTATTTGAGAGAGAGAGAGAGAATGAGAGAGAGAGCATGAGAGGGAGGAGGGTCAGAGGGAGAAGCAGACTCCCTGCCGAGCAGGGAGCCCGATGCGGGACTCGATCCCGGGACTCCAGGATCGTGACCTGAGCCGAAGGCAGTCGCTTAACCAACTGAGCCACCCAGGCGCCCACTCTGTACCCTTTAAACAATAACTTCCTCCTCTCCGCCCTCCAGCGCCAGCCCTTGGTAACCTCTATTCTCCTGTTTCTAAGAATTTGCTTATTCTTGGCTCCTGGCTGGCTCGGTCAGTACGGCAAGAGATTCTTGATCTTGGGGTCGTGAGTTTGAGCTCCATGTTGTGCGTAGAGATTACTGGAAAAAAAAAAAAAAACCTTAAAAAATAACCACTGGCTAATGATTTAATCTAAGAATTTGCTTATTCTAGGTACCTCTTATAAGTGGAATAATTTGTCCTTTGTCTCTGGCTTATTTC